GCTGGTGCCTCTGTACGGTGCGCGGCTGCAGCTCCTGCGCAGTGATGGCCTCTTCGCACTGCAGCGGCTTCTTCCGCCCGGCGCCGCGGATGTGTGCGTCGCGCCGATGCCAGTGCCGTTTTGGGCGGGGGGCAGCAGCCACCGGCGGCTCGTGACGCGTGACTTTCTCTGCGCGGCACACCGTGTGCTGAGGCAGCGCGATGACCCCGCTGACCCGCGCGGGTTTGTCACCTTCACCGACGCCTTGCCACTCGCTGATTTCATGATGGAGCAGCTTGAGGAAAGCCGTCTGCTTGTGCCGTGGACACGGAAGAATCCTGCGGAGACGTACGCGAGGTGGCTGCCGCTGCACCAGGACCCCTCATCTCGTGAGTTCCCACAGCAGCGCCTTGGCGACATCGTCTCGCTGGCCGCCTCGAAGAGCGGACCGACCTCTGCGCACGCCGCAACGTATATTGAGTCACTCGACTACAAGCGGCGCCATTACCGTGCACTGTCTCCCCCAGACGGAGAGTAATGAGCTCTTGTTGTTGTTGTTGTTGTTTTCTGCTGTTGTGGTTGTGTCCTGCTCATGTTGCAGCCGCAGCGATGCTGCTACTGCTACTTCCACCATAGGAATACGCACAAAAAAACTAACAACGCCAGACGTGAGTACGGGGGGCGGAGGGAGATGTGGCAGCTGGTGCTGCACCGGGTCTTCCTACCTCAGTGTCTTTCTCCACCACACGCATACGTAATACATATGTTGCGTATAGCTAAATACATTTTTCGTCCATCGCGCTCCCTTATTACTTTCATTTGTGTGTGTGTGTGTGTCCCTATTATATGAGAGCACAAGCGGCCACCATGTACCGGAGGAATGTGTGTGTTGTTATTTTTAATGAGGAGGTCCGTTTTCTCGGATGTCAGCGCATCCACGAAGAGCGGTATCAGTTTGTGCAGGGTGGAATAGAGGACTGGGAGGACGACACCCTTCAGGCGGCGTACCGTGAGGTGGAGGAGGAGATTGGACTTCTACAGGAGGACCTCCACTTCGTTGGTGAGATACTCCCCCCGAGTGGGGACCCACGCGAGTTCCGCTATACACTTCATCAATCATCTAACTTGCGACGCTTTGGCTACGTGGGCCAGGAGCAGCGTCTCATGCTCTTCTTCACGACATCGAATTCCATTAAAAAGGTGCGCCTGATTCCACCAAAGGAGACTCGCGCTCTGCAGGAGTTCTCCTGTGTTAAATGGATGACGATCGAAAACATAATTGAGCGTTGCCCAAGAGAGAAACGCCACATATTCGTTGCAGTGGCGAAATTGGCTCCCCCCTTGGCGAAGGCCTTTCTACAGAAACGATCAGCCCTCTGAGTAATTGGGGTGTGATGGGGTAGGCCTGATTCCCCTGGGGTTTGCGGTGTGTGCACCCCTGCAGTTGAAGTGCGAAGCTTATTTTCTCTCCGTGTTTATCACTTTCTTCCTCTCTCTCTCTCT